GTCTCTCTCTGTCCCAAAAATAAATAAAAAAAAAACGTTGAAAAAAAATTTAAAAAAAAAAAACAAAAAAACTTCTAATGGGGGTGGGGGATGCTTAGTGATGCCTCTCTTAGGAGCAATGACTACCTGCTAGAATGAACAAGAAAGGAGAGACACGTTCCAGGTTCTCCTCACACTCCTAGTTCTGCGTCTTCACCAATATAATGTCAATAAAGATTTGTTATCACAAGATTGTAACTTTTTTTCCCCCAGTTCAGAATCCTTTCTTTCAGGTTTTGTGCTCCTGGAAAACGGGGTCTAAGATGTGTTCGTGGGGATGGTGTGAAGATTAACCCGAATGATATCTGACATGCAGGGGTGAAGCAGTAACTTCCAAACTATTACAAACTGCCACTCCCCAGGGAAGGTCCCACACAACCCGGAGGTGTTCTGCAGCCCCTCTTTTAACAGAGCTTAAAAAACTGCAGCATAATCCTAAATCTGCAAAGACTGTTCACTAAGTCCTGTTTGCTAAGAGTTATTATCCCTAATGAATCATCAGAAACTGGCTCATGATACCAGGACCACTTGTCTTTCATCTGGATAAGCTGGTCTCGGGTTGGGCCGTCAGATACCTTAATCTTGGAAATGTACAATAATCTTCCTGTATATAAAGACTTGGATCCTAGGTTCACTTTCAGGGCAAACTGATCCTGGAGGGAAAAAACGGCCTTTAACCTCACAAATAGTAAGACAGAGGTAGAACAACATAGTGGGTTTTTTTCTTGGGAAAATTCTGCTAATGCTCTTTCGTATTTTTTTTTTAACGTTTATTTATTTTTGAGACAGAGAGAGACAGAGCATGAACAGGGGAGGGGCAGAGAGAGAGGGAGACACAGAATCGGAAGCAGGCTCCAGGCTCCGAGCCATCAGCCCAGAGCCCGACGCGGGGCTCGAACTCATGGACCGCGAGATCGTGACCTGGCTGAAGTCGGACGCTTAACCGACTGAGCCACCCAGGCGCCCTGCTCTTTCGTATTTTAAATGAGAATATATACTCGGTTTGGCAAAATAAGCATCATGCACAGTGGATGCGTATTTTAGCAAAGCTAAATCTGTAGATATTGATTGCTTATTTTCTAGTTATGTATTTAGACTAAGTTATTCTTGAAAATTGCTTCTTCTAATAGATATGTGTGAGAAGAGAAATCAAAGACCCATTGTCCTGACCTGAAACTTAGGAATGTAGAACTGGGCTTTCGCAGACCTGACCTTGGCTAACTCATGCTAGTAAGACTCAAAATTAAGCAGACAGAAATTTGATTCAAGTGCTAATATGGACTCTATGGAAATTTCACTTGGATATTTCTCTTAAGGAAGCTATGAAACCCGAGACATAACGGACCACTAGGGGCTATTAAATAGAGCTTTGGAAAAATTGTATAGGGCACTAAGGAGTGGGTCAGGCACAGAAACGGCCCTGTGCACTGTATCTTGGTTTATTTTCTGAAGGGGAATCAAGAAAGCGCAAACCTCTAGAAGTTGCTGTTGTGCTCACAGAGCACACAGTGTATAGCAAAGCATCACATTCATTTGATTTTAAAGAGAAAGATGTAGAAAATATGAAAGATTTCTATATCAGTCTCATTTGACATTTACTAAATAAACGTCTGCTTTGGGGGAAAAAATACATGAGAATTTCAGTATAGCAAAAGAGAAAAAAAAAAAGATTGGAAGGGATACGTAAGCTATAGACGGAGGAAGGAATTCAGATAAATTCGCTGAATCATTGAGGTGATTCCCATGATAAGTAGAGGCACATTACCCTGGGAGTAAAGCCTTTACTATAGGAGGGCGTAGTATCTTTTGGATTCAAAAAGTAAGTGCACCTAAAATGGTTCTCCTAGATATACTAGACATATACAGCTGGTAGACCTTGACAGGTTTGGATATATCGTGATCATCCTTCTTTTGAATTACAGTTCTTACGAGAAACGTCTGCATCCATTTGGTAAAAGCGGTAAATTAATTTCTAAATCACATGGTGTTTTGGAGAAGAAAAGCTGAGGCACGATCAGTTTCGCTGCGGACAGTAGGCTGAGAACGGAATGCCTCCAGAAGCTGACCTCTGCCTTCCAGATCAACAGTGAGCCCCTGCTTCACGTGTTCCTGGATCAGCAGAAGTGTGTGCTCAAAAATCTCCCCAGCTCTGGCTGTCTCCACAGTAAACGGGTCATGCGGATAACGAAACTGAGCCAGCAGATCAGCAGGGGTGCGAGGCTTTCTGCAAGTGACAAAAGACAGCACTGTTCACAAGGCAAGACTGCAGAATCCATGAATCTCACGTGTACTGTGCATTTAAGAATACATTTCCCGAACAATCAAGAAGTAGGAAAGCTTCACGATAAGCTTCACAGGAGAGCTGAGAGTTCTTTTCCTATTTCATTAGTGAGTCCCAAGCGTCAGTGGCAGTGCTGAACTCAAAAGATATATTTTTAATGAAGCAATGATTTAAGGAGCAGTTTTGTATAAAAGGCAACACCTATGGTGAAAAATAAACTTGTGGGGTCCACAATAGGTCCTAGTGAACCCTCTGAAATAGTGTGCAGTTCACCCAGTTTCTGGGTCGTGGCACTGTCTTCTCTTTCCTCATATGTAACTGCCTGGAAATTCCCATCCACCTTTAAAATCCTGCTCAGGCATCACTCTCCCCACAAAGTCTCCCTAGTAATCCCAACAAACTACCACCTTCTCAATTACTTCTGTATCATCACATACAACTCTTGCGTACGCAACGAGATGTACTTAAATTGCTGACATATTGTGTCCTCCACCACAGAAAGACTGTGTTAGGGATGAGATAATGCCTTATTCATCTTTATATCCCAAGTACCAAGCCTACTGACGAGCACACAGTAGTGGTTTGTACACATTGAAGAACTGAACTAAGTATGTTGAAAGAATATTAGCCACTGAGAATGCGAGACTGTTTGAGAGATTTTGGTCAGCTAAGGCACATCTGGTACTCTGTGTCTGAAATCATAATTAACTTTAGATCACAGAACAATAGTGATCATATTAATAGCTCACTTTAATTAAGCCTTTCTATGTGACAGACACTATTGAAACAATCTATCTGTACTAACTTACTCAATCTTCCTAACAAGTATGTCCATGAAGCAGATCTCATCATTAGCCCCATTTTCCAGGCAAGAAGGTTGAGGTACTAGGACGCTCAGTCACTTGCCCAAGGTCGCCCAGATAGAAAGCGATAAAGTGAGGAATCACAATAGACTATAAGTAGGGTGGATGGCTCTAGAACACAAGTCCATGATCAGGACGCCATGCTGTTTGTAAGTATGCAGGGAAGAGAGCTGTACTGGGTTATGGCATTATAACATATTCCTTCTTGACCAACAACTACAAAGACCGGGTATAGGCTTTGACTTTGAAGACAACAGTTCTGTTTTCTTTAATACGTTCGGGGGATGCAAAGCGCCCCATGTACCTCCATTAGGACTGACAGGGACTTTGTAGAACTGGAAGGCTTCACCATTCTAAAGATACTGGTGACTCAAATGAAAACAAACCAAAATATTACATTACAGCTTCCACCTGTAAGCTGTCGGTTCACGACCAGATGTGTTCAACCTGACCATCAGTGTCAACTCCGGAACTGGCAGGAGCACCGGGTCTGACAGTGGTAGGTGGTTGAGGACCTAACAGAGCCCACTGCCCGAGCCCTATTGTGGGGCCACACAGAGCAGATCTGTGATGTAAATTTCTGCCATTTGCATCCTATGCGGAATAAGTTTCATTCTCTTTGAGGCTGAGCTGGCAATGGTGGCTAGCCCAGAGGGTGATAACACAAAACTGAAGAAAACACCTACTTTGGCACTTTATGCACTATGCCTGCTGTGATTTATGGAGATTATAAAAACCAAGTAGAACTGAAGTGAAAACAATTTTGCAATCAAAATAAAATAAATTCTTACTGTGAAAACAAATGTCTTCGTGTGGAGTTAATTGCACTGTCAACCCTCTGTACCGCGTCAAGAATGGATGATTCAACAAAGTCATCGCCAGCTTGTCTAGCCTGTATTGCTTTGAAAATCAATTCCATGATTAAAAGTATCAAACAGACCTTGAAGTTAGGAACGATCTCATATAAATGGCATTACAAAAACTTCCAAGACAATAAAAATGTTATACAGTGTCCACATGATACTGTCCATTGCAGAAGAGTAGGTTAACGATCCCGAAGCAAAGCTTCCAGCAACAATACCAGCATTATTTAGGGAACAAAAACATTCCACAATCTAGTAAAGCTATGTGAAATATTTCTTTTTTTGTAACACCAATTCAAATGGGATCCAAGTGTGTTAGTAATTTGTCATCTTTGGAAAGGTATGAAATGCCTATCTCTTCAGCCACCTTGCTTTAATGTTAAACATTAAAATGAAGTAAATATTATCACATCCCTATGGAGATTTCTTACAGCAAGAATTGAACTCTCAGTAAGAACTCAGTGAAAAATAACTCATGTTGTTTCTATAGCTCTTCAGTGTGTGAGAATTCTATCAATTTGGATATTATCCACAAAGGAAACTTTTGACTTAAAGTAGAGAGAATTAGTGAGAATGCTCACTAATTCTCATTAGTGAGAATATTAAAAGCATAACAAGAATTTATATGACATAATTAAAACAATAACTTCTTTGCATTGTTGAACACTGAAAGCGAGAGTAAGTATAGCTCCAACAATTGAATTTAAAGATAATGTCATTAAGGAGATACAAAAGAATGAAAACTTTAAATAAAAATAGGAAGGTGTGCGCTTTATATATTAGCACCTACATATCATATATTGCATTATATAATATATTAAATTACAAATGTATATTTATATGTATAGAAGTACATATATCTATGTTTATGTATTTTGGACTAGAGGAATGCAAATAGCATTCCACAACGGCTTGTTATAAAAAATATTCCTTTGTATCACAAAAATACACACATATTGGATTGGTTCATTGTCCTAGAAAGATCACTAACATAAAAAAATTTCCAGAAAAAATACCAATAATATAGATATTATAAGGAAAACAGTAAAATCAAGGTCTCTGCTGAAAGACGTACTTGATAAACTAGATTATGGGCAGTACTTATGAGATGGAGGTTATACTGTCAATGCAATTCAGTCTTTATCATGACCGCAATATTAAAACTCCAGAACATCAATTTTACCTTTTAGAGTTCAAAAATCACATTGGATTAACTATACATTCACTAAAGGTAATTGAAAGGAAACAGAGACAAACTGATTAATTTGATTACATGAAATTAACATTTTCCATTCAAGGAAAGACACAAAGGCAAAAAGGTCACAGACAAATAACACAATAGGTAACGTATTTGTAATTTCTAAATCTGACGTAGAATATTCTGTTTCATTCAAGGAATTCTTGTAACGCACTGAGAAAAAATACATACAGTCAAGCTGCAAAAGGGGAAACCCCCCAAATTAGGAAGTATAGAGCAGATGTTGAAAGCCTCATAAATAAAATTTAAAATACCAGTGAACTACCATTTTATGCTTCTGGAGAAAATGAAAAAGCTGATTAATGCCAACCTTTGGCAGGGGTGAGTGGACACGGTGGGCTGGTGAGAATGTAGCATTGACACTCCTATTTCCAACATTTTGTTTAGTGAGCTATATATTTTTGGATTTGCTTTTACTTAGGAAATTGACATATGTGCACACCCCCTCACCCAGCAATCGCATCCCCACGTATATATATCCAGAGAAATTCTCAACAAATCCATAAGGGATACAAACGAGAATGCTCATTGCAACTTTGTGTGGAAGGAATTAGGGAAAACTTTCAGCAATGGCAGTGTGGGTGGGAAAAACGTGGTGGACATACAGTATGAAATACCATGCAGCAGTTAGAATTAGCTGGATGGACACATGCACTGATGCTAAAACGCGTGCTTAACGTAAGAATTACGAAGCTGAGAGAGATTACCAGAAAATGATTTAATTAAATATAATATAAATGCACCGTAGTTGCTACATACATAGTGAGCACGTGGCGAGGAGGGGTATTGGCTTATAAGCAGATGGATTCATCAACCAATTAAGCAATCAATCAATATAACTGCAATGATTATGAGAAAACAATATTCTCCAATACCTAACATGATATATACCTTGTGGTATGTTCAAAAACAGGTCAGGAAGAATAAGCCCACTCAAATTGTTATGTTTACTTGATAATAAAGGAACCAAGATCAATCAAATCAATCTGGGCTGACCTGTTGGCGGACGAGACGTTAGCCTTTTCTTTATCGTTTCCTTTTAAGTCCCTTACCCGCGAACCTCAAGTGTAGAGAGTGGCGTCAACGATGTGTTCTTATTTATGACAATTACTGTCATTGGACCCCTGCACCTGTGTGCATGATACACGATCAAAGGTCTATTTGGATTTGGAAGTAAGAAGGTTACGTGTAGGGCTGAGTTATCACACAGTGCACAATGCCGGTCAAAACTCAAAAGGCGGTTCACTATGGCAGATAGAACTTGGGAAATGATATCTAAAGTTTGGGAGAGCATCGATTAACACGTTAATCTGAATTTTATTTGTTTCATAATTTTGCTTTTATTCTGTTTGTAAAATAGTTTGACTATTATGGTTGTATAAAATGTATAGGCATAAGGAATTTTTAAAAATCTCATGTTCATCTTTTGACTTATTCATAAAGTGGAAATAATAAGACTTGCTCAACATATAGCTCAGGCCAAACGTGATTATTAAATAAAAAGGCATGCAAAGTTCTCTGAAAACTACAGGTCACGATGCAAATATTAGGTGCCTTTCAATAATTACTATGTTCAAAACCCATAAGTAATCCGTACTCTCATACTATTACCAGTTGCTCCTCTGTCGTCCTATCGTTTCTTCAACTTGACCCGCTTTTTCTCCATGTTAATAAGAAACCAACAAGTGCGGAGATGTGAAAAGGAGAGAAAAGTAACAAGAAAAGTGGCAAAATATGTAAATATTGTTTGCAATAATTATAATGTGCACAAACAGAAAGCACATAAAAGTTGTTCACAGATTATTAAAAGTACATTAAATATGTAGTATGTTCACAAAGAAAATATTTGTGGTAACAATAACTCTCACTTATGTCATTTTAATTATGAATTCTTAAGGTTTCATAGTTTTATGATAAAATAAAACTACCCTTTTTACTATTCATTCGGTCTCAGTATTGTTTTATTTGCTATGGTACAAATTGCGAACAGATTTCCATAATGTTCTCAGAACAGCACTGCATTATGCGGAGCAAATTCAGTTTATTGGGGCACATTAGAATCAAACAATACTGTTAATATTTTATTTGTCTTAAAAACTACCTCAGTTGACGTTGTAGGGATAGAATGTTCAGAAAATGTTGAGTATATTCTCCATCTTTTTATGCAAAATTTTGCAGATGTGAAAGAAGAACTAGATCATTTTCTTTTGTTAAATCTTGGGCTTAAAATGGGGGGAAATAGGGTTACAGAACGAGCACGTTTAAAGTTGTCTAATGAACATCTCCTTTCAGTTCTGTCCATGCACCTATCACCTATCACCTCCAAGGAAGATAAAGTCCAAAGATAAATGTGAGTCCTTTGAGGAAAGGGGAGTTTGGGGTCATGGCCCACCAACTGCTGTGAGCCCACCCTGTCAGAGCATGGCCCAGATGGGAAGGATGTGGCGGGGGGTGGGGCTGGGGGGGGGCAGGGAGAGGGCAGAACAGGACGGAGCCAGAGGAGGAACACTGCCACAGGACACCTGTACCCCTGCCTTCACTCTCACCACAGAATCCCTAGACCTCAATAAAAGCTGAGTTTCTTTCACAACTGCATATTCTTTATCTCCCCCTCCATCTTGGAAAAAAGTAGCCAGGTAATGTAACTATCATAACTAAATAGACCTTACCACATTAAATCTTCGCTTAAAGAGAACGGCAGACTGCCAATGACGCTGGACAGAGATGTCCTAGGAAACCAGACAGTCCCACAGCATACAAAGGGACACTAATGACTGCCTCTGTGAGATAATTTTCTCTGAACAGCAACAACTCTGCCTTACTCATCATTTTGCATCATTAAGTATGTAAATGGGCTCACTGTCTTGCAGGCTCCACCATGATTTCAGAAATGGGAAAGGAAAGACACTAACTACTTCTTTTTGGTTTTAATAATTGAGATGTGCCTTTGATTTTCATTATTTGCTTTCTTTATAATTTCTTAACTATCCAAACATTACTACACTAAAATTTTGTTCTTGAAATTTAATGCTAATTTTTTTTAACATGTGGCTTATATCAGGATAGACGTATGTTTTCAGAATAGGTTTTATATAGGGGTGCCTAGGTGACTCAGTCTGTTAAGCGTCCGACTCTTGGTTTTGGCTCAGGTCATGATCTCACGTTTCCTGACATTGAGCCCCACGTGGGGCTCTGGCTGACAGTGCAGAGGCTGCTTGAGATTCTCTCCCTCTCCTTCTCTCTCTGCCCCTCCCCTGCTCATGCTCGCTCTCTCTCTCAAAATAAATTTTAAAACATTCTAAAAAACAATAGGTTTTCTATATAAATGGATGGGAAATGTGTTCAAAATGGATACAGGTATTATAAACATATGCAGATGTGTATTAGGTATATGTTGTTGTTTATAGAAATATTTCACCATTGTATTTTTAAAGTCTGACAAGTGAACAAGATTGTCATGTATCTATTAATTATTATGTAAATTAATGACATAATCATGGTACATAAATATAGTAAAATAGCAATTTAAAATGATTCAATATCAATTTTACTTCATTGATATATTTGGGTAAAGATAATTAAAATTTTCTGATAGTTCATAGCTCACTCACTGAGCAACAACTTCAGTGGTTTTGAAACAGATGTTTTGTCTAGACAATGACAAGTAGGTGGATTAGAATGTCAAAAATCTGAGTTATTCATTCACAATTTCAAAAATAACTAGATCCCAAAAGAATTAAATAAGCCAATTGATAATATAGCACTTGGAACACCTGGTA